AGAAGTCCGGTGTGCTGTCTTGTGTTTTCTCAACATATATTTTACATATCTTCTAATCTCTTTTTCACTCTTTCTCATTACATTTCACTTTTTTCATTCTACTTCTTTTTCTTCTATTATATAAAAATAATAATAAAAAATTCATAATAATGGTGTGGAGAGGATGGCTATAAGGGGAGAAGGGAGGCCATCAATAACAAAAAAAAAAAGAAAAAAGTAATACAGTAGTTTATAAAAGCTGTGCTCAACATATTATAAAACACATACATTTATACCAAAAATCAAAGCTTCCTAAAATATTATAGCTCAGCTCTTACAATATAAACACAATCAGCTCTGCAGAAAACAGTTTTAAGGAGGGGCTTCCCTTCATTACTTATAACAATACAACATTTAATAATCTGCGTATGTCTTAATTAAAATATCCAGACAAAAATAAAGCTTGTTATTGACAGCAGACATTATCTGAAGGTGTAACACCTGGGCTGCATTCTACTTCTGTAGCTTGATTTTGAATGTGAACATGCACAGGAGAAACTTTTTTTTCTTCCTCTGCGGACTCTTCACCCAAAAAAATACATATCATTGAGTGGAAAAAGACGTCCAAAATGACACAATCACCAACCCGCTGTCTCACGTCTTATTGAAGTATAAAMCCAAGCTTAACTCTGCATCATGGGCTGCTGCAGGCAGAAAAGAAGAGACACTTATGGTGTGGCTTTCATCCTCCCATCATTCTAACATCCTGCAAAGAAATTCAAACAAAATCTCTCCAAAAACTCCTCTGTTCAATGGATTTTATTAAAATGCAAGCTGACCTGTTAAGATGTTTTTGATTGAAATAGTGTTTGATTAGAGTAACTATGACCTCCTTTCAGTTCTTCACAACCTATACAATGTTTTGAAACTATTGTGGGTAATAATTTGCATTTTTGTTTTATTTTATTTTTCTTTTTGAAAGAAGGCCGTTATAATTGGGAGGTGTTTTTTTCAACATTTGATGACTTGAACATTAGCCGACTGTCATTTGTATGGACTACTTAGAAACAGACAGAAATAATTTGCATAATAATTTGGAATGCAGCGTAGGAAAACCTTTCCTAACAGGTTGATGTTTTTATCCAGATTGACAGTGCACTCATGAAATCAACTCTTCTGGAAGATGAAGCTGTCCTTCCAGTCTTAAAAAGGTGGACTTGTTTCATTAATTAAATCCAACAAAAGCAAAGTAGGTGACAGATTTCTTCTAAACAAATTGCATCATCTCAGTGCTTTTCAACACCACTCATTAAACCTTTCTTTAATTTTACAGCCTCCTGGCATTTCCTTAAAGGGACACACAACATTTCAAAGCTTCACATAAATTACAGTGGTTTGCAAAAGTATTCATACCCCTTGAACTTTTCCATATTTTGTCACATTACAACCACAAACATAAATATATTTC